TTGATTCCAGTGCCCTGCATCTTGTATATACATTTTTCTAATTTGGGGAGGAGAAGGGAAATAACAAAGTGCTGAAATAAGGATATAGGTTGACCCATTGTAACAATAAGATGAAAAAGACACTATGTTGAAAACGAACTTTACAACTTCATGGGGAGGGGGAGGGGGGAGGGAAGGGGAGGGATGATGGGGGGGATTGGAAGAAGAAAAACAAAGGAGGAGGTAACAATGTTGGATAGGAAATGTACTCATTACCTTACTCATGTAACTATAACTCCTCTGTACAGTATTTTTACAATAAAAATATATAAAAAATAAAGAATAAAACAATCCTGTATGGCAAGTACAATTGGCCCCATCTTATATATAAATGTGGCTGACCTACTCACCAGAAGTCATATAGCTAGGAGGGAACCAATTCTAAATTCAAATTGGAAACTATCTTGATCTTCCACCTGTAACATACAGGCTGTCATAAAAACACACTTGCAGTTAGGGTACTGACTGAAAGATTCCAGTAGATATTTCAGATCTTCTACAAATCTTTAGCTTCCACTTCTCTGACTTTAGCCAATCCTCCATTTTTTGAGATATTTTTTTCCCTACCTAAACACAAACTGCAGTTTATGAAGGTACTTGCTGAACTTTTCACTTAATAACTAATTTGTTCCTGTAATCTCCAATGAAGTTCCAAGGGAAAAAAAAACAAAAAATATAAAATAACACCATAAAAAACACCCACATGTATATAGTACTGTTATTAAAAGTTGTAAAAAAAATGATGTGATTCTGCCTCTGAAAGCAAATCACATGAGATAGTTGGAATTGAATGGGTATATACAAAATACACTTAAGTAAACACTCAGACAGTCAACACAAAGAGGTCATTGGCGTGCAAATATAAGCTATCTGTTGGGAAGAAGAGGACAAAGTTGACAGCAGATGTCCTACTATATTGACACTGGCTCAGAGGAAAGCTATTACCTATTCAAGGAAAGCTGGCAAAGAAAGAAATTCAGATTGACATGAAAGAAAATAAGAGGGTTTTAAGAAAGACCAAGAGATTCACAGTGCTTCATAAGTACAGTATCTCTACTAACCAAAGAAGTATCTCCCATGTCTAGCTTTTAGACTTGTTCAATATACAAGACAGGAAGAGAGGAAGGAAATGCATCCAGGATATTCAGTGATGCTATGAGAGTGGAAGGGTGGAGCCTTACTACTTGTTGCATTTCCCCATCATGTTCTGGCTCACCAAGCTCGCTAGAATGCCCTACTTATGTAGTTTTACCTAAGCTGCTTGAATACATGTCTGACTATGGGCTATGTATGCATTCCACAGAGGTAAGCCCAGGAAGACAACAACTATTACTGCCTTTGCCCAAAGCTCTTCTTTGGGCTCCTTTGGAGGATCAGTGCTGGAGAAGAGGATTTAACACAGCAAAGTATTTCAAATGTATGAACTCCTGTCAGAGTCAGCTAGTCCCGCAAAAAAAAAGGATTCTAATGATTTCCTTTCTCCAAGTATAAACATTACCTCCCAAGAGACTACACTGATTCTGTGAATCAAAAGAAGCTTTCTGTTTCTCTTACTTTCCATATAGTGTGGTGGCCCCTCCTGGAAAGCATTCAGGAGAAAATATCGATGTGTCACTTACATCTGTGAGAAATTCCTTAAAAATAAAACAATCTAGAAATGCTGGCAAATCCTTACCATCATGATGCTTTGGCTTAAACAAGTATTTTCCCTGCATGTGTTCATTAATGTCCTTGAGATACTGCATTGTGGATTTACGTATTCAGACTGACTGAACAGAGACATGGGCAAGAATTACAAAGTCACATACCACTACCACAAAGGGCAACTTTTACATTAAATTTAAGAGAAATTTTCATTAAATCCTCTCAAAAAGAAAAAGAGCAGACACTCTTTGAGGGAAAAATGTTCAATCAAGTCAGATAACCAATATAAACTATCCTTCAAAGTCTAGGTTGGCAAGATTGGTTCTTTCTGAGGCCTGTGGAGAAGCTGATCCTTGCCTTTCTCCTAATACTGGAGAGACTGAGGCAATCTGACATTTCCTGGCCTATAGACCATCATTCTGATCTTTGCCTCATGTTCAAGGGCATTCTTCCTATGGGCACATCAGACTCAGGTTTTACGATTCCATTCTGATGAGAATACACTCATGGTGAATTAAGACGTGTCATAATGACTGCATTTTAACTTGATGACTTCTATAAAGACCCTAACTCCACATAAAAGACTTTAACACAAGTTTCTTTTTTTTTTCTTTTTTTTTTTTGCCAGTCGTGGGGCTGGAACTCTGGGCCTAGGCAATGTCCCTCAGCATTTAAGCTCAACACTAGCACTCTACCACTTGAGCCACAGCACCACTTCCAGCTTTTTTTGTTTATGCGGTACTGAGGAATCGAACCCAGGGCCTCATGGATGCAAGGTAAGCACTCAACCACTGAGCCACCTTCCCAGTCTCAACATGAATTTCTTATAACAAATGAATTTCCATAATGTATATCTTCAAGAAAATAAGTCTCCTTTAGAGCAAGTTGTCTAATCAAGCCATGAACGTTACAAGCCACAGACATTTACTTAAAGCCATGCCATATTCTTAATGTTGGAGTTCTAAAATTGAATTTCAAAAGGAATCTAAAGGGAAATTCAAAGAACCACCATGTTCATTTGATGGATATGATACCTTGATCTATATAAGTTTTGGGGTTTGAGATTAAAGAAATAAAAAAGATTTTTATGAACTTTATATTGTTGATGTTAGAAGTAATAAAATCTCTTTTGACAAAAAGCCAAAGACATTTGTTCAGAATAGCTCAGGGGTTTTCAGTGGTTCAGCTCTTAACACCTCTACCTGAACCAGTTCTGAAAAAAGATGATGCCAAAGGAGATACGGTTTCAGAAATTGTGTAGAAGTCAATATGGAAGTATGATAGATGCACAGAGAAAAGGTCTAGTTTTGAGATACAAACTAAAAGGACTTAAGTAGAAAAATTAAAAGTAGATTCTCCAGGCCAGGTACTGACGGCTCATGCCTATAATCCAAGCCAATCAGGAGGCTGAGATCTGAGGATCATGGTTCAAAGCCAGCCAGGGCAGCAAAGTCCATGAGACTCTTATCTCTAACCACCCAAAAGCCAATAGTAGAGCTGTGGCTCAAGTGGTAGAGCAATAGTCTTGAGCATAACAGCGCACGGCCCAGATCTTAGTTCAGACACCAGGACCAGCACCAAAAAAAAAAAAAGGATTCTTGAAATGTAATCACCAAATTGCTTTAAAAATTTGGGCTGGGTGCCAGTGGCTCACATCTGTAATTCTACCTACTCAGGAGGCTGAGATCTGAGGATCTAGGTTCAAAGCCAACCTGGGCAGAAAAGTCTGTGACTCTTATCTCCAATTAACAACCAGAAAACCAGAAGTGGCATGGTGGTTCAAGTGATAGAGCACTCTCCTTGAGCTGAAGAGCTCAGCGACAGCACCCAGGCCCAGAATTCAAGCCCCATGACCAAAAAAAAAAAAAAAAAAAGGCAGTTTGTGATTTAGGTTAAAAGGACACGCAATCTCCAGCAAGTCTAGTGTGCGGAGGAGACACTTGCCATACCCAGGATGTAGAGAAGCACAGAGGCACATCCCAGGAGATTTCAGTTCAGGACCACTTAGCGCTGAGAAAATGGCAACAGTCATCCCAGGGATGGAAGGGTATAAGTACTGGCTTCACAAAATGATGTGGCTTTTTGTAATGAAATAAAGTAAATGACATTAAATGAGTTATCAGGCTGAGACTTATGAATCTTGGTGCTAAGACTGCTCATCTTGTATAGGCAGCTCAAATAAGCTTAGCACATGAGTTTCATTAAAAGAATTAACCCATTGCCAAGTAAAATGTCTCAAAGAATTGGAATCTTGTCAAACTAGCTTAACACCATAAAATGGTACAACTTAATGAGAAACACTACAAATCTTGAGAAATACAACACACAACTCTCTAAGACTGATTTTCTAAAACTGATTTGATGTCTAGGTAGACCCAGAGAGCAATAAGTAAAACACTGTAATTAAAAACTCCTTTTGTTCAATTATTTGAGCAAAAGTTCTCCCAATCCAATTCTTTTTGAACCACTGCAATAATTTTTGTTTTTGTTTTTGTCGCTTGTGCGACTTGAACTCTGGGCATGAACACTGTCCCTCAGCTTTTCAGCTCAAGGCTAGCACTCTACCACTTGAGCTACAGCACCACTTCTGGTTTTCTGGTGGTTTATTGGAGATAAGAGTTTCACAGACTTTCCTGCCTGGGCTGGCTTTGAACTGTAATCCTAAGGTCTCAGCCTCCTCAGTAGCTAGGATTACAGGCATGAGCCATAGGATTACAGGCATGAGCCATTGGCGCCCAGCTTGCAATAATTTTTTTTTGAATTTTAAATAATAAAAATGTCTGATTCAGGGGCTGGAAAGGTGGCTCAGCGCTTGCCTTGCATGCATGAGGCCCTGGGTTTGATTTCTCAGCACCACATAAGCAAAAAAGAAAAAAGCCGGAAGTGGTGCTGTAGCTCAAGTGGTAGAGCCCTAGCCTTGAGCTGAAGAGCTGAGGGACAGCACCCAGGCCCAGAGTTCAGGCCCCACGACTGGACCCAAAAAAAAAATAAAATGTCTGATTCAATCACATTAAATTGAGACCATTCTCTTTAAAGGCCCACCTCCTGGAGACATAACACATTCTTGAGCATGGAAGGCAAAACAAGACACAGTGCTCAGTGATGAATCTGAAAGATGGTGTGTAAGGGGGCGGGAGGGGGGGGGGAGAGGATTGTACATACCTTGCAAATCCACAACGGCCTAAAGCCTAAGGCAAACTGAATACAAGTAGAGTTGGAGAAGGGAGGGAGAAATTGACTTGCTATGACTAGAAGGAAAAGGAAAGAAATCCATATTCTGTAATATTTGGTCCTGATAAAATGTGATAGCTACTCACCTGTCTACTGTTTCTACGTCAAAGCAAAACCTCTTCTCAATAGATTCAGTTTTCCTCCGTGTGCAAGATTTGAGAGTAACTGATTCATCTTCTCCCTGGTGGGAAAATGCAGACTATCAAGTTGAGGCCAAGAATGTGGAGGCAAAAGCCTCTTACAACTATACTTTGGAAACCCTGTTATAATTAAGAGGAAAATATCCTTAGTGACTGATGGATCATGATGGCACAGCATGTCCATGGGACTTGGCCTGTTGAATGTGCATGTGTGAGTGTTTGGGTGTGTGAGTGTGACCTGAGATTAGAAGGAGTGCTAAGACTTGAACTCAGGGCCTAAGCACTGTAGCTTAATTTTTTCACTCAAAGTTGCTGCTCTACCACTTGAATCAAGATCCACTTCTGACTTCTTGGTGGTTACTTGAAGAGTCCCACAGACACCTTTTCAGGCTGGCTTTGAACTGTGATCCTAGATCTCAACCTCCTGAGTAGCTAGGATTATAGGCCTGAGCAAACTGGTACCCAGTTTGATACTGTTTTAGTCAGGTTTGATTTGTGGGTTTGATAACACAGTCCCCTGCAGAGCTTCAGGAATCATACCACCACTCACAGCTGAAACTGCCCACTGACTTGGCTGATGATTAAAATAGTCTTCCTCCCCCATTAGATTGTGAGTTCCTGAGAACAGAAACTATGTATGTTTGCTTACTCTAGTGTCTCCTGAAGCTAACCAGATCCCAGATAAAGTAGGTATTCAATAAATATATTTTAATAGCTTTATTGATACATACTATGTGAAAAGCACATGTGTTTAAAGTGTAAAATTTTATAAACTTTGACATATGTATGAACCCATGAAAACTGTAACCACATCTGCCGTAAAAACATTTCTATCATCTTTAAACTTCTCTTATATCCTTTGGTAATCTATTTCTGCCCAACTCAACCTCAAGTGGTCAATGAATCTGGTCTCTGTCAGTATAAATTAGTTCACATCTTCTACAATTTGATATAAATAAAACAACACAGTATATGCTGTTTTCTGTTTGACATCTTTTGTTAAAAATAACCTTTCTGTGACTTACCCATATTGTGCACATTAAGAGTCTGTTTCTTTTCATGGCTGAGAAGTTTTCCACTATGTGGAATGTGAAGATTTTTACCTTATAGCACTAATTTAATGCCTAAAAACACCAAAGCAGCTGTCCTGATGTCTTCTCTTTCTGACACTTCAGAATTTGTTAGGGTTTCTGTTTCTCCTGCCTTTGCCAATCATTTTTCTAAGCTAAAGGGGAGAAATCAACAAGCTTGACTGGTATGCTGAAATAATGGAAATAAGACTCCAGAAGATACCTCTAGCCACCCACTGATAACAGAATAGCACACCAAAACTGAAGACCTGTGAAGTAACAGTTTATATTCTCAAGCCTTACATCTATTGCCTTTGATAAAAAGAAAAGATTAATTTCTCATATTGAAAACTGTTCTTTCTCCACTTAGTAAGATATATGAATGCACTAAATAAAAATTGCTTTGGACCAACAAACCAGACTGAAAGTGAACATACAAATGTTCTCATCACTAAACCCAAACCAAGTTGTACCCAACCTTCTAAGAAGGTAGGAAAATCAGAGACAATTGCTAAATTGCCCATACAGGTTCTTTTTTAACTGGCATGATAATAAAGTTCTCTCTGCCTTCACCATTACAAGAAGAATCTGCAACCTAGAATAACCAATCAGTAATTTTCCATGACAACATGACAAATAGCATGAAAGGAATAAGGGAAGGAGAGAGAAAGGATGAATCTGTGCTAAAAAGCTGAAATGAAAGGGATATGAGGTGTTCAGGAAATTGGGGACAATTCTCTTGACCTGGGATGAGAAGGATTCACAAGAAATGAAAATAAAAGCCAGATGGTGCCTGTGGCTCATACCTATAATACTAACTACTCAGGAAGCTGAGATCTGAGGATTATAGTTTGAAGCCACTTGGGCAGAAACGTCCAAAAAAAAAATCTATCTCCAGAAAAAAAGCCAGCCTGGAAGTATGAATCAAATGGAAGAGCATCATTCCTAAGTGAAAAAAATCAAATGAGAGTGTAAGGTCCTAAGTTCAAGTCCTGGTACTGGTAAAAATAAATAAATAAATAAATAAAGATGAGAAAGGAACAAGAAGTAGAGAGAAGCAGGGGAAAAAGTCCTCTGGTCATGGTCCTTGAGTCTTGGAGAAACACAAGGGAAGTAAGTATGGCTAGAAGGCCAGAGTAAGAGGCAACATGCAACAAGAAAGAGTTTGAGAGAGGGAAGAGGCCAGGATTCTGAGTCAGCTAAACTGCCAACTGGCAGGTCTCCAGGGACCAAGTAATTGACATCTTCCAGTCTCACATAATGAGGTCACACACGATGATGTCACATACAGCTATTTAGCATTTTATAACCATTTGATACATTTAATACCACATACATATGAAATACAAAAATTACTCTTGGTTGTAGTTCCTAACATAACTTAGAGCTAAGAATAATTATTTTAGTTTTCTTTGGGGCCTCATAAAACCAGTACATAAAAATTAAGAAACTTTTTCAGGGAAACATTGGAACTGTTTCTTTATACATATAATCGTGATTAATATTAGCCAAGCAAAATCAAGCGTGAAATTTTAAAAGTGAACTCACCCCCTTTCCTCCTGATTTTTGGTCAAACGGAACCATGGTGATCTGTTTGGAATCTCGCTGGTACGTACAATAGTGCTTCACCCAAGAAGTTCCAAAGTGACCTGAAAGGTGACATTACCCATTAAACACCTATACACATCTACTGAATGCTGTGCCTTGTTAACTGCAGACAACATAGCCCACAGCCCATAATATTCATCCACCCTTGCCCTGTTTTAGAAGCAATGTATTCTCCACATCAGCAAGGCTGAAATAGATATCACATCCCACAGGCTGGAAATGGAACCAAACCAAGGTTCCCCCTAGAGACCCAAGAGCACTATTTCCCACTAATGCTATATCCAGTGAATCTTAAAATATAAGGGAAGTGGAGGTTCCCTGGGGAAATTAGTTCATGTTCCCATCATCAATCTCTGTTTGAAGTTTCCGTTCTCTCCCTTGGCAGGAGTGAGATGACTGAGGCAAGAACACAGAAAGGCTCCTTGCCACCATCCCCACCTGGGATGATGACATCACACTTCCTACACAGCTGCTTGCTGACTCTGTGCACAGACCTACTTCTAAACGCCCAGTTTTTACCTTAATATAAATGAAAAAGATATGAAAAGCAGACAAGGAAACTTCAGACAAAGAAGAGATGCACAATGGAAGTAACTATAAATGCCCAGATACAATCTAAGCAGTCTGTCTCTCAAAATTATGCCTTAGTAAAAGGAAGGTGGCATATACTTGAGGTCCAACAGGATCTTTGATTTTACTCAGTGCCTGACCACTTACTTTATTTTGAACATCAAAGTATTATTAGAGGAAATAGGTATAATTAGCCTTAAAGAACCTCAATCAACATTTAGAGATCACAAGCAGAATGGTCCAAGTTTTAAAAAACGTGGTCAGAGAATCAGCAGCCTTTTAATAATTAATAATAATATCGCACAGCTGCCAGCTGCAAGTGTTATTGTCATTTTAATTAGCTTAAAAAGCAAGATGTAAGTATTTACATTGGAGTAGAGAAAACAGTTGAAAATACTAACTACCCAAATGTATTCTGGGTGGTTTTGAGCATCAAGATCTAATGGGTAGCCTACTGAATAATATGTGAATCATAAGTTTACATTGCAGTGGCACTATACAAGGATGGACAGAAGGATAACAGATGGATAGACAGATAAAAAGGGAAAGAGGGAGGAAGGAAGAGCTGTGAGAATACTTCCTTACAGCCCTTGGAACGCCAGCTAGTATATATGGAGGGAGAGATGTTGCTGGAAAATAGTTTTGCAGCCATGGTAGGAAAGACTCACTCAGGCAAAGATCATCACTGAACACTATGTCTATGGAGGGCAAAGTGTCCAACAAGAAGAAGGATATTTACATGATCTTAAGATATCTTCCACAGATTTGCTACTCAATTAAAAGGGAAAATAGTGATGATATATTAGAAAAAAATATGTATTAGTAACCAGGTATTAGAGACCCTGAGTGAGTGATTTAAAAAAATCACCCTAGAGGAGCTGCTGGACACCACATGCCTCTGGATTGGCCCCCAGAAAGAACACATAGGTAAGATTAGGATGGAGACGTCTAAATCTAAAATCACAGAGACACATCAGACAAATCCATGTTAAAGAAACGTCAAAAAAAGAACTGTACTGTGTTCTCAAAAGTGTCAATGTTATAAAAAACAAAGGAAAACTAAGGCACTATTCTAGATTAACAGAGACTAAAGCTAGGCAGCATGAATGTCGACAATAGAGAAAACAAAGTGTTGTGTAAGGACACTACCGGGACAACTGGCAAAAATGAAACAAGATATGTAGTTTAAATACTGTGTAAACAGTCAGTTTCCTGGGTGTAGTTTTTATCCTCTTTAGAAATAATCACTGAAGCTGTGCGCCTGTGGCTCATGCCTGTAATCCTAGCTACTCAGGAGGCTGAGATCTGAAGATCGTGGTTCTTAGCCAGCCTGGGCAGCAAAGTTCATGAGACTCTTACCTCCAATTAATCACAGAAAAAGCCAGAAGTGGTGCTGTGGCTCAAGTGGCAGAGTGCTAGCCTTGAGCAAAAGGAGCTCAGGGACAGTGCCCAGGCTCAGAGTTCAAGAACAGTACTGGACCAAAAAGAAAAAAGAAAAAAAGAAGACATATTAACTGAATAGCTGGGTACAATGGCACATCCCTGAAATCCCAGCATTCAGAAGGCTGAGATGAAAGGGATTCCAAAGTTCAAGGTTAGTCAGTGCTACATGGTGGAACTGTCTTAGAGAGGAGGAAAATATCCAACTCATTGAATTACAGGAACACAGATATACAATTCTCCTAATGGTTCAGGAAAAAATGTAAGTGTACATGTGTGCATACACATGTGTGTATATCTCACCAAAAAATAAATAAATGAGACAAAATGTTAGAATTTGGGGAATCTGGGCCCATTTTATATAGTTTATCCTTTTACCATTCTTGCAACTTTAATGTAAGTCTGAAATTATTCAAAAATAGTAAGTTCCAAAATCTTAAGTCATAAAAAAGCTGTATCCTTATGAAATGTCCCATGCTTCTATGTTAAAGAACCAAATAATGGGCCTAATTACAATCAACATATTAATGTCAAATCATGGAAAGTGTTTGAACAAAATGGTATCAAGTAATGAGTATAAGAAAAGCAATACTGATTTTATACTTGTAGTGAGTAACAGTAATATTATGAGCAGAAAGTGAACTAGATCTTTACATTCCTGAAGATTTGTTTTCAAGATGACCTCAAAACCTTTGCTGAAAGGATCCCCTAATAAGGCAAAATAAGGACCAGAACTGAGTTGATTTCCACTTCAGTTCATTCTGTAAGTATAGGAACATAAAGCCTTTATTACAGCAATACGTTCAAGCAAATGTGTTACTAAGCCCTAAGTATAACAATCACTGAAACAAAATATTCTATTCTCTTCCATCAGGAAGCTTTAAGGAGTGAAGTCATCTTATAAGCCCTGCCTAGCAGAAGGGACATGAAAAAAATTCAAAACCTGCAGAAAGAGCAGTGTACCCTATTAATTAAACATGATGAAAAAGCTGGGTGTGGTGGTACATGCCTATGTTCCCAATACTAAGGGTACAGAGGAAGGAGTAACTGACAGTCAGCCTGGGCTACAAAGCAACACACACACACACACACACACACACACACACACACACACACGAAAATAGAAAGCAAGGTGGGACATACTAGGAGAACTATAATTAAGGTGGGGGGATCTGTTTCTTTCATTTGTAGCACAGCATGTATCAATTAAACCTGGAAGTGGTACCCTAAATCACAAAGATCCACCATAAAGCCTGTCTCTAGGCCTAAGGCATGAACTTGTGAGTCATTATTACCAACTCCATGTGAACAGCACCTGTCTCATCATCATCAGGGAAATGGGTTTCTTCCTGGCTCTCAAAATGAGCTTTTCCTTGTACTTTTCATAATATTCAGTGTTGGCATGAAAGGAGTTGAAGAAAGGAAGGGTCCAAGCCATGGGAAAGAGGTCCAAGCCATGACTGTTTGCAACATACAAAATCTTGTAGCACAAAAGATCTTTTCAAGGCTACAATGTTCAGGGCAAGGTGTATACAGCCATTGGAAGAGCAAAGGATGCTGAAGAGTCACTAGGGAAAAAGGAGCAACCACCAAGCCTAAGGGAATTCTAGGGTACAGGGGCAATTCCCAGGCACAAAGCAAATAGAATAGGTCACTGAGAGGTCCATAAGATATTGTGGATATCCTTTTCCCTTTAGAACCTTCACCACAGAATGACTAGCACTCTCCCAGGAAGGCTGAGACTCGGTACAGGAAGCCAGGCACTGCCTAATGCACTCTCCTTCTACTGAGGTCTAAGCATACTGGCCACCGGTAGGCAGAGCACTTACGTTTCTCTTGCACGTACAAGTATCCCTCCATGGTGTAAGGGCTGATGGTCTTGTGCTCCAAGGGGTTCTCCTTCATCTTTTTCATCAGTGATTCCACTTCTGATCTAGTGCCTTCAAAGCGATTTCTTGTCTAGGATGAAAGGAATTTGACTCAAATTGAAGAAACTTCTAATACTTCTGAAGACCAACCTAATAGTATTCTTTTATCTAAATAAAGGACATTCAAAGTGGGCAAATATTCCCTTGTAAGTATTCTTGGACCTTACAATATTATACCTGAATAACTCAAACTCTCATGGCCAAACATCTAGAGAACTTGTACACAATGCAAATTCCCAAGCCTTACTTATAGTGACCAAGATGATCTTAGGGTCACTTGACTCAGATGGTCCAAGGCCTGCCCATCTTCAGGACTGTACTCCTCACTTCTCCAACTGCAAGAAATGTGGTTCATTGATGGATCACAGGTTCCTCCTCAAAGGGGAGTTGGTGATTTAAAAGAAAAGCTTGGTGTAGTGGTACACTTAGTGGTACACACAGTCACCCCTTCATCCAGGGTAGTCTGTGCCCTAATATCCACCTGGCCCCCAAGGATCCCCTCTATGACTCCCACCACTGACGGAGCCCACCTCACACCCTCCCTTTCACAGGGTCCTAGTTGTCAGTATCTCCCAACCCTGCTCCAGTAAACCTCAATTGCATGGCTCTTAATTTCAGAGTCAGCCTCCAGAAGAAGCCAGCCTGAGGGAAAGCGATGTTTTGTGAAAACTTTTCTAACACTGCAATGTTCAATTTCTGATATGACACCAAGAAGCAGGTGAGTCCCAGACTTGTAAAGGCCACACATTCATGCTACAAGAAACACCCAGATCCATTTCCTATACAAGAGCATTCAGAGACAACACAAAGCCCAATGTGGCCAACTCCACAGAGAAGATGGCTTTACCCCAGTAGCTGCTACCAAAATACTCCAAAGCAAGATTCTGAGCACCCAATGGTCCTAAGTTTATAAGAGAAGACTAGGGATGAACCACGCGGACTGGATTTCCTGCCACCTCTCTGAGAGTTGCACAACAGCACATCCTTTCAGCCAGAGGTTGTGTCCTGCTCCATCCCCTGGACATACACCCTAGGGTCCCAAGTGACCAGGTAGCAGATGCACAGAAGGGAGGTTGGGCTGAGGTTGGCTTTCAACTGCCAAAGGAAATCCTGACTCTGTTACAACAAATTTAAAACATAATCAGCAGCACTTATGAAAATATAAATAGTGCTTTGAAGTGATGGAGAGGATGATGGTCTGAGCCCCAACCACCAACAACTCTAGAAATGCCTGCCCCAGTGGCCTTCTGAATCCAAGAAGGACTCATCCTTCCCACCTAGCTCCAACCCACACAAGTGAGCTATAAGGTACCCCCACCTGAGGTTTTTTTGCCCTTGACTACAGAAACGAAGCCTGTCATTACATTTACTCACATTTTGTATGCTGATGGTCAATTGTGTCTTGAAGTCGCCAAAATCCTTGGCCAGTTCATAACCATGGTGATAGAAAGTAAAAAGTCCTTGCAGGAAGGCCAGTAGCTGTGATGATAGAAGAAGCATTATTAGATAGCTGCATCTAAGTTTCCAATACTGACTTAAAAGTCTAGAATAGAGTAATAATAATGGCTAACAGGTACTGAATAACATGTTTTTGCCAGCAAGGGACCCTGTTCTGTCTCACTGGATAATCACAACAAACTATGACCTAAATACAACTGTGACCATCTTTAATATAAGGAAGCAGATTCAGAAAGATTAAATAATTTCCCCCAAAACACACTGGAAGTGGCATCAGGATTTGAAACCAGGTCATCTGAGCACCAATATCCACATGCTTACCCAGTAAGCCTCACGACCTTCTAAGATCATTTATCTTCTACAAAATAAAATTCTCATAGGAGATGGGGAGCAAGCATTGGTAGATCTTCTAGTTTCAAAAAACATTAAGTATCTGGACGTCAGTGGCTCACACCTGTAACCCTAGCTACTCAGGAGGCTGAGATCTGAAAATCATGGTTTGAAGCCCTTCTATCTGACAGCATTAGAACTCCTGCCCTGACATCAGGAAACGAATCCCAAGCAAAGCTGTGACTGGAGGCTGTACCATCTCTGGACCTCAACAGGAAAATGCTATGACTGCTCCCTTCCATCCTACTCACCTCTAACAGCAAGAATAGGATTTTCTCTGACACCAACACTGAACGTGAAGTTGGCTCTACTTGTTCTAATATCAAATAAAAATATTGTTTTATAAGCAAATGAATCAGGTGCCAATATTAATAGAGCCTATCTGTTTTACGGTAATCTTCATAGATCTAAAATCATGTGTTTATTAGTGACTATGAAAAATGCTGACATCCCAGCCACTGTGAAGAGCACACAACTTCTCTGGGGATGTAAGATGTCAATAGTGGGGAGCTAGCCAAGGTAGCAAGCAGTAAGTAGCAGCATGGATGAGGATGGTTACTAGAGAAGTACCAGAGGGTTTTAAACAGTACAACATACCTGCACTTGCAGATATCTTTCAATCACTTAGTAAGCTACCTGGAGAGCTATGCAAAGAAATTTCCAGTCTCAAATCAGGATAAGGACTGTAAACTTAAGTGAGTTAGCTGAGACCCTAAATGTAGGATTCTGATATGTTTTCTTCACTTTTCAAAGGAGGTTCTTGTCTTGGAATACCTCAACTTCGAGGTGTCAGTGGCTTCAGTGGTTGGGTACAGGGGGATAATGCTAATTTCTACTTTTCCATGGTACTTCATCTACCCACCTCAACTGTGGTCTAGAAATATCAAATGAAAATTCCAGAAGCAAGCAGTTCCTAAGTTTTAAATTAAGTCAACACTCAGCAAAAGAACTCAAACACTGATTGGTAGTATGACATCTAGTTCTGTCTCTCTTCATCCTGCCTGGAATTTGAATCATCAATTTGTCTACCAAATCCACGCCATATATAACGCCTGCCCATTTAGCCACTTGGGAGTTTGGTAGCCATCTTGGTTATAAGGCTGTTAGTGATAATGCAGTGCTTGTGTTCACATAACATTTATGTAGAAACCTAACACCACATTACAGTGCTGTATCAACCCCTCACTTCCTCTCAAGGGTGAGTGCTGTAGAGTGAGATACTCTCAGATAGACCAAATAACCTTTTATTATAGTATGTGTTCCAGTTGGTCTACCTTATTATAACTATCATTGTTGAGCATAGGTTACAAAGTAAACTTCATCAGAGGTATGTGCAGATAGGTGATGTAGATAGACCAAATAACCTTTTATTATAGTATGTGTTCCAGTTGGTCTACCTTATTATAACTATCATTGTTGAGCATAGGTTACAAAGTAAACTTCATCAGAGGTATGTGCAGATAGGTGATGTAGATAGGTATGTGTAGCTAGTAGATGTTTGGTACCTGCAGTTCTGGTACCCATTAGTTACTCTCAGCAAGGCCCCCTGTTGATGGGGATACAAGTACAGACATGGGTGGGTAAGGGTGGGCAAGTACAACTATATTCTTTTAGTGGAAGGCTAATCTGAGATCAGTGGTTCTCAGAGTTGTTGTTTTGTGTTTTTTGTTTTTTTTTTTGGATCCGGTCGTGGGGCCTGAACTCTGGGCCTGGGTGCTGTCCCTAAGCTCTTGAGCTCAAAGCCAGTGCTCTACCACGTCATCCACAGTGCCACTTCCGGCTTTTTTCCTTTTGCTTATGTGGTGCTGAGGAATCGAACCCAGGGCCTCATGCATGCAAGGCAAGCGCTCTACCACTAAGCCACCTTCCCAGCCCTCAGAGTATTATTAAGTCCACCCCAGTTCTGAAATGTAAAGATACTCATAATATGTATTTGAACCAGCCTCCATGATATCCTTTGCACGGAACAGTTGGAACCATTAGATTGCATGGAGGGAGAAGATGAAATAATATCAGTGGTCTTAATTGATATGTGCTTAGTTGTCTTGTGCTGTGCTAAATGCTTTACCCATATTGTCATTCAATCCTCATAGCATCTCCAAGGGATGGGTACTATCCTTACCTGTCTTTTCAGATGAAGAAATGGAAATATATTCAGATACGACCTTTGTAATAGCAGAACTAGAATGACCTGGCTTTAATCCCTATGGAACAGCTAGCATTTGATTGTTTACAGGTAGAAAGGAAAGTAGCAGGAAGTCTATTGAACCCTATTGAATTGCTTGGTACAGAGTACTTAGTCTTAGTTAAAGGGATCCTCCAGCTTTGTAAGGATCCTCCATGCACATTGACCAAATTTATTTGTTTCTTAGAAAGTAACTTCAAGTACTAGAATAATATTTTCCCCTAGGAAAATACAGTTTGAGTTTTCTAAGGAAGAAGAGAAAACTCAGTCTTTTGGGATTAAACCAACTATATGTGTATATGTAAGTATTACTACATCTCTCTGTGTGTACACACAAGCACAAATACACTTGCACATGCCAGAAACCTTTAATTCTTGAGATACAAAGCTTCTAGCAATGTGGACTGCAGATAATGACACATTGACTATATGAAGCTGAAACCTTGTTCTAACGCTAATTATTTCAAATTGATTCCATCTGTAAAGATCCTATTTCCAAATAAAGCCACATTCTGATATATTCAGAATGTTTGTCAGTCTGGCTTCCTTGGATTCTTCTCAGCAGCTGCTCCAGAAGCCCTGAGCATCACAGCTGCTCAGTGATGGAGACAGAGCTCTCAGCTTCTGCCTCTCGTAACCTTTGCTGTGTTATGTGGTTTCCAGGAAGGAAGAGTGTAAGAGGGCATACAGAGAAGGAGGCATTCTCATCTTCCTAGGAAATAGTGATTACAGCCTAACCTTCTTGCTTTTTCCCACAATTCCTTTCTCATATAATTCAAATGTAGGAGTAGCCTAGGAAATACCAGGATGTACATGGTTCTTTCTCTTTTGGGCCCTTTTTATCCCATTCATCTAATCAAAAGAGGTTATAGTAAGCCAAGTCTCATGGTAGATCATGAGAGTGGCACAAAGATTCTGCTGAGCGGACCATGACAGAATATGGGAAAAGTCTGACTTTAAGCCACCCTAGCATGGCTGTGTTTTCAATCCTGACATAATGGAAGTTGCTTAGTTGTATGGAAGACTCATCCTCCATCTTCACCACCTCCTCTGAGTTTGCTGTGAGTCTTACCTCCTCAGTATTTGTGTCTTCCTCTCTTTTCCCACCCTTGTGTCCCACTGCAGTTCCTGTGTCTCCCCCATTGTCTCTTGTGTCCTTTTCTGGGTTTTTCCTACTCAGCCTGACCTGAACCACAGCGAATCTTCTAACTCTTAATTTTCTCCCTCTCGCTTTCCTTCTCCCTCTCCCTCTCCCTCTCGCTCTCTTTCTCTCTCTCTCTCTGTCTCTGATTCTGCCTCTGTCTCTCTCTCGCTTGCTCGCTCATTCTCTTACAGAACAGTTTACGACAGTAGTTGCATGCTAAGACTGTCCCATAGATAACTGGCATTAACTACTAACACTGATGGGCACCAGTGACACCATTATTATGCTCCTGTTAAAGATGAGTTTAGGAGAATCATGAGTTGTGTGGCCTACATAGTCCAGTCAGTACTTCATTTCATTCTTTTGTTGGCTATGCTCTTTATTGCATGGATAATGAACTCTTGGTAGCTGTGTTAGTTTGGGAGAGCTGCTGTAAAAAGTATAAAGTAGGGTGGCTAAACTCAATACAAGTTTAATTTGAGATGTTGGTAGGGCTATGGTTCCTCAATCCTATAAGGCAAGAATCTTTCCTTTCCTCTCCTAGATTCTGGTGATGTTCCCACATTCTTTGGCATTACTTGGCTTCTAAATGTTCTCACACCATTCTCCATCTTCACACACAAAGGGCTCCTGGAGCAGCTGCTGAGAAGAATCCCAGGAAGCCAAACTGACAAACACTGGGTGTGAGCACAAGATACAGAGCACTGTGTAATCTACAAGATAGCTGAAATGAAGGGACAGGAACACCATTAATCCTTTGGTAGCTACTTACAGGTTCCACAAACTCAAACATCTTTCTCTCTTGGACTTCTTGCACCTTGAAGACATATTCCAGGGATACCTCATAGAAGTGCTGCCGGACCAAGTCCACTTGGCTGTCAGCCTACAAACAAGATGAAATATATAAATGAAAAATATATCATTACTGAAAGAGAATACTAAACAAGCAAGGAAAAAAATCTATGGAGATAATTTTAAAAACAAATCAAGACACATGATCTGGACATAAGATGATAAAGGTAAGGTGAACACTAACTTTGTGCCAGATACCATGTCCATAGCTATATATACATTATTTTATTTAAACCTCAATATTTTTATGTAACTTCTATTAAAGGAGATATTATCCTTATGTCTAGCTTTCAGGAAGAAAATGAAGCCTGCTTACATTAACCTGACTTAGGTCATGGAGTTGGTAAAAGGCAGAGAAAGAATTTCCACTCTGGTATATCTGCCTCCAAGACCCATGATCATTCTTAAACCATAAAACTCAGCCACTACCACTCCCCCCCTGTCCAAAATCCTCACTTGAACCAAGATTCCATGGCAGGCAGGCTTTTTGAGTAAAACAGAAAGCCTGTAGGATCTTCCTCATCCTTTTCTTCCAAATGAGCAAAGCAAGCTCGTAGCAGACCAGAAACCCCCAAACACAACATTTCACACAAATCCCAAACCCTTTGTGACAATGATACATGATTTGTTGCCAATTTCATTGCTCCCCTGACTGCCATTTATCACCTTGTATGGGGGGGGGTTGTCTAGGATGGACCCCAATGGGTATAATTAACTATGGATCCGGGATCTCAGATCCAGAGCAGCAAACAAGCATGTGTGGAACAGCATGATGCTACACTGCAGAGCTGCCAGACCTCACCATCAAGCTCCTAACATTTCCACATTGTGGCTATGGCAGCTGGTTCTGTGAAAGCAGTTACATTGAAAACACTGTTTTTCCTTAGGAAAAAGCAAAGACAAAGGTCTCAAACAAATACTTCTTTCATTGTGCTTTTCTTGTAGCAAAAACATGGGGTAGACCCTTACTTACATGATTCCAAAAGTAGTCTGCTACCCTGAACCACATTATTCAGTCATTCAACTTTCCTGACCCAAAAGTCTTTCAAGTTTGTAGCACTGAAAACACTGAGCATTAACTCTAGTCAGATGATCAAATAGTCATATAAATAAAAGGCAGCTCTGGTTAAATACAAGATGCTATGAAATAGGCCAAAGTGTATACATTCCAAGACACTGTCAATTCCTCACAACTGAACACATTACATAGCTGTCTTACAACTTACAAGGAGACTGGTCTGCTAAGCAACTGCTAGGTAACAGAAAAGCCAGAATGGAGTTGTTTTCTAAAGCCTCCCCCAGGAGATATTGATCCTAATTTGGAGGCAGGGCTTCATAAGTCCTTGTTTTCCCCACTTCTATGTGTGGCTGCTTAGACAACTAGGCTGACACACCTGCCTTCCACCTGGGCTTCTGTCAGCCCAAGATACATAGTTGTTGGCAACCTCCACTGTTCTTGAAGTGCAAACCTGACCCACATATAGTAAGGAGGGCATCTTCTCCCCTGAATACCCCATATACATACACCGTACACATTCTCTCTTGACTTGCTAAGACTGAAGTAGGAGAAGAGGTCATTCTGAATCCACACAGCGCTTCTAGTGATAAAGGCAGTGATGAAAGAGCTGAAAGAAAGCTACATCTTCAGTTGGAACTGTCCTGGTACAAACTGGTTCTAGAGTTTTCTAGCTGCTCAAAGGCCTAGCTCAGTGCTCTAGTCCTGCTTGTCAGGAGAATGGGGAGTAATAACAATGGTCCTTAATTTCAGATAAAGCTGTTTCAAATATAAAATGGACTAAAAGATGTGTGTTGAAAACATGCCCTGTTCATGATGTTGTTCCTATGAAGAGACGCAGCTCTTCAGCAAATGGCAGCAGTCTCTGCCCTGTCTTGGGCCAGCATTCATCCCTGGCAAAGGCTCTTTTCTGTCCTGGCACAGTCTCCACACTGCAGCCAGAAGACTCCCTAGAATCTAAATCAGCCCCTGCCTGATGTACATCCTGCCTCCTGTCCCTTTTCAGGTCCCATCCTAGCGCTTCTCCTGTCCTCCAAAACTTCCAACCTCTCTCTTACTCGCACCTTGCAAAGCATGCCTTCTGCATGGAAATATATACCTTTTCTTTTGACATCAGGGCACAGTAAAAAAATGTTTTACATCATAGCCCAATAAACACATGTTAAATGAAATATGATGTACTTATACATTTTTATTGCAGCCTATTCTCGGCTGTATCATGACCCAATAATTCTTACATTCATGACATTCCCACAACTTGAAGAACACTCTCCAGGATTCTATCCACATTCTCACCTTCCTGGCCTCTTCAGAGAAACATTTACTAGCCAGGTTGTCCTAAATAGGTTGCCCAGTTGCATCTCTAACTTACCACCCACATTTCCTTAGCACTAGGTCCAATTCATATTTATTCCTTTCTTGTGTGCTAACTACTAAAACATAAAGCCACATTTTCTAATTTTTCTAATTGTCTTCCAGTACCAGGTCCATAGTAAGAATTCAATAGACACCTGTAGAATGATCTTACCCCTATCTGTCCCTGTCAGCAACACAGACAGGTTTCCAGTGATCAGCACAGAGAAGAAATGTGAAACTCAACACATTTCCAAAGAAGACAAAGATATTCCAAGCAGAATGGTACATTTCTCTTCCCATGATCCTGCTTGCTCAAGGTCAAAGATTTGATACATCCTTAAAATCTGCATAGGGGAGCCAGGCACCAGTGGCTGTAATCCTCGCTGCTCAGGAAACTGAGATCTGAGGATCGTGGTTCAAAAGCCAACCTGGGCAAGAAAGTCTGTGAGACTTTCCACCAAAAAGCTGGAAATAATGCCCAAGTGGCAGTACACTATCCCTGAGGGGACAGGGGCAGCTTAGAGACAGTGCCTAGACCCTGAGTTCAAGACACAAACAAAACAAAACAAAACAAAAGAGAGGGGAATAAAGATCCTAACTCACTTAGCCAACCATCTTCTATGGTTTCATTATGGCTGGAGTGTGGCCCCAAAGTTGATGTATAAGGAGCTCAGTCCTCAACTTGATAGTATTCGGCAATAGAGATGTAGCCTAACAGGAGGTCATTGTAGCCAGAAGGGAATGAGTAGTTTTTTATGGGACCCTAGTTACTTCTCTCAAGAAAGTTATTGTGAAACAACCAGACTGGCCTATCCCTGCTTCCACTATTTTGTGGTCTTGCCATGTAACCATACATGCCCCCGCCACCACTGTGCATCCAACATGTGGTACAGCACAGGAAATGGATGTTCACTAAAGCTGGAGCTTCTAGCTTCCAAAAACATAGGCTAAACAAACCTACTTTCTTTATATATACTCAGCCACAAGTCCCTCCTCCCCCTCCCCTTCCTCCTCCCCCTCCCCCTCCTCCGCCTTGCCAGTCCTGGGCTTGAACACAGGGTCTGCGCACTGTCCATGAGCTTCTTTTGCTCAAAGCTAGCACTCTACCACTTGAGCCATAGAGCCACTTCTGGCTTTTCTGTTTATGTGGTACTGAGGAATTGAACCCAGACTTCATTCATGCTAAGCAAGCACTCTACCACTAAGCCACATTCCCAGCCCAAGTATTTTCAAGCCACTCAAGACAAATGCACGTTATTTAAATGTTAAACCTTCTGGCATTATCAGGCTCATCAACATTCTGTGCTTCTTAAGATATTCTCCAGGACTATAGCAACCATTTCAGCCTTCCCCCAAACATACCTATATCCTGAAAGATTTTTGCAAAAGTATCTAATGAATACTGGTTGAATGTAATGCTTTTGGGGCAAACTTCTTAGGCACTAAATATCCACTAGATGGCAGTGTCGTCACACACTGCTGCCCTGTTATTTCCACCTCCTTGGATTTAGGTACAAGCTCAAATTGAAAAGCATTTTGTTCTAAGCTCTACAATCAGGAAACAATTCTAGACAATCAAAGGTAGCAGCTTTCCTCAAAGAAGGGCCAGCTGCTTGATAATGCTGATTTTTAAATTAATGTAAAGGAAATCATGGCTAAATAGCTGGAACACCTTGAGCAAATCACTTGACCTCTGTGAAGAGCTCAGATCCTTCAGGTGTAATTCAAGGACGTTCCAGTGGATAATCACCAGAGTTCCTCCCGCTCTCCAGTTCATCAGCTGGAAAGTGGTACAGCATACTAATGGCTGGCAGGGCCCAGAGTCTCAGGATCCTCAAGAACAACAAATTGGGCATGCTAGAATTAGCTAGCTACTGGAGGGCTACTGAACATTTCAAAGCCTCAGTTTCCTCCTTTGTAAAATAGTTTCCTCATATCCATACCTTATCCAGCAATTCTGAAGATTCTAGCAGATTGGATGCAAAGTGCTGAACACAGTATCTGAGACATAAATTATATGCACTTGACAAACATCTGTTGGTATTGTTGTTATCACTAGTATGTTGCCATTATTACGTTTTTATAACATATTCAGTTCATAACTGAATACAATACTTATATTCAGCTATAACTGAGTACAATGCTTTAAAACTAATCTGGCCACAACAGAATTTGTAAAAAAAAAAAAAAGACTGATAGCCAAATCACACTCTCAAGAAGTCCTAGAAAGTATATATAAATAAAAAACAGGAATACAAAGGACTACAATAAAGGAGTATAATTTTTAAAATGTCCTTGCAGCTATACTACCTCAAGAACAGGAATGGAGATATCCAGTGTGAGTTCAGGGGACAGAAAGAAGGGGTAGTATATATTTGTGCAACCACTGTAATTTACCTTCTCATATGTAAAGAAAGAGATTGAGGCTGAAAATCTGAATAACTTGTCCCAGGTGACCCACTGCTGATACATCTTGAGACAAGGTACCTTCTTCAGCAATCCAGACCAAGTCAGCAGTAGTCTCCGGGGAACACCTACTGCACAGTGGACTCCCAATGTGAACAGGTACTAGTCCATACCTTCTTCACCCACATACCTGCTCAGCTCTGTACACTCAATTCAAAACACATTGTCATTCTGACATAGAGAAACTGCACAGTTGGACCGAACTACCTAATGGCAGCTCTGCTCCAAAAGACATTCCTTAAATAGGTTAATTGCCAAACTCTAAATGTCAACTAAAGGAGAAGTAGAAAGTGAGGCTATCAAGGCAGAAGTGAAATTACATAGTTATCAGGATCAATGCATCTTCCAATAGTCATACCTTCATGTTCAGTTAGGGTCATTAACCCTACTCCAAGAAGAGGATTTTAGTGTGGGTGTTTGGTTTGGTTTGGGTTTTCTGTGGTGCTGGGGATCAAACTCTTAAGCCTCACAAATGCACACTCTACACTGAGCTACATTTCCTCAGCTTCAAAGAATTGGGTTAAATAAGCATTTCAAAGCAAAGACTTCTGAAATGGCACATGCCTATGGGAAGATGTGTAAGACACCACCATCTCTTAGGTGCCTTCTCTGTTAGCCTGTGGCTCAAACTGTCTTCACATGAGCTTCCATCTGACACTACTGGCACAACACATGCTCTAAAGAAACACATAAAAAGGAGGCTAGCCTGAAAGCCAAATATTCTTTAGCACATCTCATCAAAATGGCTACATTGTAAGAAGTTAAACAAGATGGCATTAATAAAGTTATATTTGGAGTTCCAGTAGGAAACTGCCCCCTAGAAAAACCTCCCTCACCATGCAAAGCTCCATGAACAACATTTAAAAATGGTTGTGGCTCCAATAGTAAAAAGCTAATTTTTCTTTGTAAGTGAACTAGGTTCAAAAAGAACCCCCTGCAAATCCAGAACTCAAAGCCAGATTGATTGATTGACTGATTTTGCTGGGGATGGGACCCAAGGCCTTGCATATGTTAGACAAGTGTTCTAACAATAAGCTACATCCCACTGGATTTTTGAAACAGGATCTCCCTCTGTAGCCAAGATGCCCTCAAACTTGCTTTCTTCCTGCCTTTGCCAACTGAGTATGGGATTATAGTCATGTACCACAATGTACATTTAAGAATATCTTCTTGAAACAAGATTATTAAAGCACAAAATATATGTATGACAGTAAAACACTGTTCAAAATGGAAACACAAAGATTAAATTGGAATAATCAAAAAGTTAATATTAGAAAGGATGAGCACAATGTTCCAGATGCTAGCATTGCCAAGTTACTGCTACAAGGCAAAGAATCATAAGGTATGTTAACAGAGTACCACACTAAGGCCTAAAGAGAAAAGGAAGGCAAATTTCAGCTTGATATTAAGAGGCACAATCTAGCAATGAGCGCTGCCCACCTGGGTAATAGTAGCCTAGCCAGAAGCAGGCTTCCTTGCCACTGGCAGGCTGTGGAGCCATTGATATGAGGTGATCCAAAGACAATCAAGTCTTCAGCCAGTGTATGAGGTATTAGAATCAAGTTCCTGATTCCAAGTTCTCTTCTAACCCTGACCAATATCTATCCATAGCACGATGTGAAAAATGAATACATTATTCAGGGTATTTGTCGAGTTTCCTACCTCTTGGAGCTGAGATTCCTTCTTTTTGGAAGATAAATTCAAGTGTTTTTCTAAGATGCCACAATACTTCTCTGTCTCTTTGTCATACTTCTTTTTGGCTTCCTGGGGGAGAGGGGGGGGGGAGAGAAGAAGAAAAAGAGTAACAAATTACAGAAATTAAGTGGTCTCTCCATACTTCTCTGCTTTTCATGGCCTCATAACTCCCTTAGCATACAAATATGGTGGCTCCTTCTCTTCAAACAATACTACTCTCAATTGTAACTACTAGGCCCCAGCCCTATGTCTATTACAGGCATCAGCACAATAACAGACAAGGTGAATGCCACCGTATTTAACAGTGGGAAAGCCAGGGCTCCACTTTCCAAGAAGTTCACTTGGATGCAGGCGAATGGTTCTGTGGTAAAGCACTTGCTTAGCATGCATAAGGCCCTGGATTTGATTCCCAGCACCACAAAAGAGAGACGAAAAGCAAGATCTTTGAGGCCTAAATTTGTGGTTTCTACCACACAACAGATGTTCCCAGCTACATCAAGTAGGGAGTTTTACTATGAAGCCAGTGCTGAGGAAGGAGGCTCTCTCCTTGGTCTGAGTGCTCTATAGCTAGACCAAGCTAGAGCCAGCCTTAGGGGTCCCAATAGCACTCTTGCACATACAGACCACACTGTCCTTTGAGGCCTTAATACCACATATTGGGCAGAATTGCCACATAAAGTTATTTCTCTATATTGAGAAATAACTGAAAATAAACAGTCTCTTCACAAATGTGTTCACGATGGCACCACTGATGCCAGCAAAAAAGAAAACCACAAAAAAAAAAAACAGAAGCAACATCATTGCCCAAGGCTAGGATTTATAAGAATGAAAGCACAGAATATCCAATAAACATAACCTGTCCATTGAAAAACTGTTCAACGGATCATAATAGAAGAAAAACTATCAATGGCATGCTACAAACTTGATCAGCCTATATAGTAAATCTACCTACAAAGATTAGATGGGTATAAACTTAAGTGAAAATACTTCAGTCAGGAAATAGGATTCTGGTAATTGGATCCTCCCTTTGAGTTGTGCTAAATTATTGCCTTCAAAATGAAAAGAAAATCAGGAACTGGTGCCTCATGCCTGTAATTCTAGCTACTCAGGAGGCTAAGGCCTGAGGATCATAGTTCAAAGCCAGCCTGGGCGGGAAAGTCTGTGAAACTCTTATCTCCAATTAAGCACCAGGAAACTGGAAGTAGCACTGTAGCTCAAAGTGGTAGAGCACTAGCCTTAAGCAAAATGAGCTCAGGGACAGTACCCAGGTCCTGAGTTCAAGCCCCATGATTGACACACAAAACAAAAAAGTTAAAAATTGTTTTTAAAAAAGAAATTACAATAACATATATATTAATCCCTGTTCCCCACCTCTTGAGTTACTGAGGTTCTACTATTCCCCATATTACAGGTAAAAAGACTTAGACCTAAGCAGGTTAACTTGCAAACTGTTACAGAGATTGACAGAGCTGGGATTTGAGCCCTGGCTAACTCCCCTCCCATGTCCAAGATCTCTACCATACTAGAGATGTGGTTCCAGTCTTCTCCATATTCCAGGGGTGATGGTAGGTTCTAGACCACCAAATATGTTCAAACATCCTAATCCCATGCATCATTCCTTCTTTTCATTCACATGGAGCCCACAGATAATATTTTTGTGCAACTGTCAGGCCTATAAGAGCAAAACAATTTTCCAACCAAATAAGGAAACTCAGAACTATCTGTCTTAATTCATAATGAGCAATTACTCTGTGTTAGGCTCTACTTCAGGTTCTGGAAATATGGAACAGATATTGTCCCTGCCTTCACCACGGAAAAGTTCTAGTAGAAAGAGAAACACAAATAGTAAACAAATAAGTAATACAATTACACACAATTCTAAATGCTACAAAGGAAATAGCTCTGTGGAGACAAAGGGTCATTAGTTAAGGTTCCCAGGAAAGACCTCAAATAAGGGGAAGAGATATGAGCTAAGACTTATATACCTGACAGGACAAGAGTAGGGAAGTGAAAATGCCTTGTGGCAAAGACTGAACCAAGAAGCCATCATCTGCAGCCATGACAAGCTCCTAAATTTATCTGCTTCACATCAAGATCCTAAGCCCTAAGACTGGGAAGAATAATCATATACACTTTCAGTTGAAGTGAATCCATTTCTACAGATCTGAATTTTCATTAAAATACTACCGTATACACCACTTATACAACATACAGAAGCAAATGAAGAAACAGCCAGAGGAAGATTATTATTTCAAATTTAAGGAGAGTTCCTAGACACAACCAAGAACTTCAAGCTGAGATCCTCCAAGTCCAACTAATATCCACATGTATCAGCTTCCACCCACTTTCCTCAGCAACCCCAAAAAGGACAGCCCTAGGCTAGCATAGCCCAGCTAGGCAAAGAGATGATAGATAAAAGCTCAGACACCTGTGAGTTATTTTCATTCTGTGACTTTTGCAATTCAAGCCTCCATGATCCATGTACAAGAGGATTATCAAAGTTAAGGAAAGAGTTGGTTTGGGTTGTTGCTGCTGCTGCTGGCGGTACTAGAGTGTGAGCTTATTAGCCTTTACTTGCTAAGCACGACTAACTACTTAAGCCAAGACCCAGCCTGAGAACAAAGAAAGGACTTTTAAGGGGAAGCAGCTTCTGTCTTGAAAAACAAAGACCTCTATGAAAATAACTCTAAGATTTAGGTAGTATTCTTAAGATGGAAGGATGGCTTTATTCCGATACACAGGACACAACATAGTATCTACATTCCAGAAAGGTTGCTGAGAGGTGGCTAAGTAGATAAGGAGTTAAAATCCTAAAATTCATTCTGTAGGGCTAAATTCTACTAAAGGAATCACTGTCCCTCTCTAGGACTCAATTTCCTTACCTATAAATGAAACAGGACCCTTGTGCTCAGGTTTGGTTTTCCAGTTGTATAAGACACTAAGGTAATGTGGGGACAGTGGCAATGCTGAGAATGGTGGTAATAGAGATGATGATGAAGGGGAAGTGATTATGATGTTAGGGATAATAAACAGCATCAATATCCCATCAAGAATACCACCTGCCTTGAACAATTCCACAAAGAGAACCCTTCTAAGTGCCCGGCACAATTTGAAATTACACATCTGTTTACATCTTTTTTGTCTAATGCCTTTCTCTCCCTTCAACCCATAAGCACAACAACCGCATCTGCTTTTCTCACCACCAAACCCCAGGGCAGTGCACAATGTCAGGCCCAGAGGAACCAGCACCTCATACATTTTTCTCAGTGAATACTTTGTACATCTCATAGCCAATATCAAATAACTAATTATATGAAAAATATACTTTTAAGCACTTTATGTGAGTACAGCCACGGGAGGTTCAGTAATTCTAAATGTACAAGTAAGTGGTAGAAGTGAAATCTGGACTCAAGTTGCCTAACGCTAAGCCCATCTCAGCCACCATTAATGTCTATTCTTTATAGAACCCAGCACTGTAAATCTACCTTCAGTTCAGGAAAAATCAACTTCCCCAAAGGCAGAAATATAAGCCTTGGGCTGTGGTTACATCAAGTTCCAATGGCATGATCCTCTCCAGGGCAGCCTCATTAGCCTAAGAGTGCTCAAGAGTCCTCTCTCAGGCAGCCTTCACATGGTACTGTCAAAACTACTTTACTATTGATGATAATTAATGATTTCGTAAACAAGAGCCCAGAGTATGCATGAGGGAAAATATATGTAAAAGGGTGATTACTGTCTTTAAATTCTCTTATTCTTTCAAGCTCCACCTCCTAGAGTTCCCAAAAAAGTGTGCTCTTATGATTGCTATGACTAGTATGAAACTCAGAGGAAGCCAACTCAGATTTTGCATTGCCTGAGCAGACTGTGGCAACCACAAAACAAGGCAAGAGAAGAGGTCAAATGAGAGGCACTGTGCTCAGAAGAAGAAGTAACTATAGGAAAGATAACTCAATACTCAGGCCTGCTCTGCCTCCAAGCTCTTTATACCCTCAAGCCACTGTGATGTTTGTTCAAAAACACCAGAGCACAGACCCATGGCCCTGCTCTTCAGCCAGGTCAACAAGCCTAACCCAGAGCATCTTCTCGGCCATCACACACAGTTCTGTATCCTGGACCAAATGCTAGTGCAATAAGATTTTCTTCCAATCACACATTCCATGATCTCTGATACAAAACCAATGAGCTTCCACTTCTCAGAAAATGCAAAATGAAATTGGTACAGATGTGTTCTTTAAAAAAAAAAAAACTAGGTGAATTTTATTTTCTTCAAACAATTTCTTCTTCAAATTAGGACCAATTATCCTTCTAAAAGATCTTCATAATACATTTATCTTTTTCAGTAATCATATCATTTCTAGAAATCATGTGTGACGGGGAAGAGAGAGAAAAGTGGGAGAAAAAAGAGTAGGAGAGTAAAAGAGTAAGAAGGGGAGCAAGAAAGGAAGAAGAAAAAGGAGGAAGGGGGAGAAAAGATGGTGAAGGCAAAGAGGAAGAAAGGAAAGGAAGAAAGGCAGGAGGTCAAGCAAGGGCCTCAAGCTTATTACATTAACCACTTTTCAAGGACATTTCACAAGGAGTAAAATCCATACCAAGCAGTGGTATTGCCTGAAATGCCCTGCAGGTGGCACAAGGGACTGTGGCTGAATTCACTCCAGAAAAACAGGAAAATGTGGGAAAGCCTTTTGCTTTCACTGACTCCAAAGAAAACATCTTCCTTGCTGGTGGCCTATAACACTCTACTGAAGGTCAAATAGACTAGATTTCCCAGTGATTTATCACAGGGCAGAACACCACAGAAGACATCTTGTAAATATGAATAAGATTCCTTTCCAGTAACATATTAGCATTAACCTTTGGCCACAGTACCTCCACGTCAGGTCAGTGATTATTGACTCTAGGCTATAGCAGACTTGCATGTATAAGCTTGACCTATATTGTGAGATATACATTGTTTTAAGCTATTTTCCCACAGGAAATTTTCCATAAATCTTGGGGTTTTCAGTTTCTCTTGGATATGTAATGATCTGTCAAAAGACGGCCCATTTCCATATGCAGCAAAATGAGCTGAAGCTGACTACTGTCAGGTGCTTAAAAGGTCCTTGTGCTGCCCACAGTGCCTGATGCACAACTCTGTAAAAGAGAGGCTGAGCCCAAGACTTCTCCAGTAAACATAATTCCACAAGATTAATGCTCTGTCCACTGCAGCCAACCATCCAATACACAGACATCTAATAATATGAAGAGGTATAGTCTATGGTGGCTTCTGAGCTTGCAATACAATTAAACTGCAATGATTAGAGAAGCTGGGTTCTAGGCTTATCTACCAAAAAGTTTCTACAGACCTCCATATTCTGAAGGCCTTCTTAGACTTTTCTAAGGAAGATGTATTTCCAGATCTCCACCCTAATTTCCAGATCTCCACCCTAAATTCAAGAACAAAGTTTGTTAAATTCTTACCTTGGCAGCCCCAATCTGCTCCTTTCGAAACTTCTCCAAGGGAGTGATGAGCACCTCACTTGCATTCTCAATCTGGTAAAGAAAATCAAAAGGCTCACAGGGAGAACAACAGGATCAGTAAAGAATCACAGCAGCTCTATCACAAAAATGATCCCCCAGAATAAAAGTTTCAGTAAGTAATATTACCTGAGTCACTGTGTATAATACTTGGACAGGACAAATAGCACATTTAAACAAAATCTGCTCATCAGTTTAAAACAGAATATTACTCCTGTGTATATGAGATAGTGTTTACCTATAGAGCTCAGGCTGGCCTCAAACTATGTAGCCTTGGTTGACCTCAAATTCAAAATCCTCTCACTTTAGTCTCTAGAATTCTGGGATTACAGGTATGTGCCATCACATGGCTCTTTCATTAATGTTGCTTATTTACAAAGAAATAAGGGATGTCTAACAGACTAAAACAACCACCTAAAGTCAGGAGGGAATAGGTGTCATACATAGGAGGGTCTAAATTTCAAGCTTCGGTGACATCAACCAGTTTGTAGGTAAAACTGATCAACAGTGAATTTGTTAAAAAACAAAGTACCTGTGGGGCACTGGTGGCTCATGCCTGTAATCATAGCTACTCAGGAGGCTGAGATCTGAGGATTATGGTTCAAGGCCAGCCTGGGCAGGAAAGTCTGTGAGACTCTTATCTCCAAATAACTACCAGAAGTGGCGCTGTGGCTCAAGTGGTAGAGTGTTCACCTTGAGCTGAAGAGCTCAGGGATAGAGCCCAGGCCCAGAGTTCAAGCCCCATGACCAACAATAACAACAAAAAAAAGTACCTTTGGATATCTGTTAACACAAACACTTTTCAAACCTGTAGCATTGTCCTACAACAGTAAACAGGAGACAGGAGAGAGGACATCTGTGCCTCCTGTTCACTAGCTACCTTTCAACTGTACCTTACAGCTAACCCTCAACTCCTGTACTCCAACCAGCACTATCATGCCAATGTACTCAAATGTACCAGACTTGTCCCACCTCAGGGCCTTTGTTCCTGGCTATCTCCTTAAATTTTTATCCCTAAATCTTTGTACAGATGACTGCTTATTATAATCAATGTTTTAGATTAAAAGCTCCTTGTTTGTGGAGGTCTTCTCTGACCATGAATGTAAGCTAGTTAGCATACCAAGTGCTTTTCTAAGAATAAAAATGTTAGGTGAAGTTTTCTGGCAAAAGCTTGCTCTCTCTCTCTCTCTCTCTCTCTCTCACACACACACACACACACACACACAAACACACACACACACACGCACGCACGCACACAAACACACACACACACACGCACGCACGCACGCACGCACGCACGCACACCTATCTTATTAATACTCATCCATCATTCTCCCCAAAGCTCAGAACAGTGCTGAAACAAAGACTCACTCAAATTCTTTTGAATGACTAAATGAATGAATGAATTATTTCTTGATTGGCTGCCAACTGTGTGACCATGGGCAAAACATTTAACCTCTCTGGGTTCTAATTTTCTCATCCATTAAATGAGTGGGCTGAACTTCTCCCCATCTAAGAGTCTATGGTCTTTTCTACAGTAGCACAATACTTTATAATCTTTACTCATTGCTCACTCTTTGTCCAACTAATTATTTCGAGAATCTCATTGCAACAGAGCAGTATTTTTTCCTCAATCATATGCATGTTTGTTCTTCTGAGTAAAATCAACACAATACATGCTAGAAGCCTTAGACAGACATAGTAAAGAACCGACTGGATAATGTGAGACACAGAGAATGAAAGGTCTCCAAATTTTTTCTTGTTTCTCTTGTCTCAATTTTGAGAACACTTACTTTAGAAAAGTACATTTTGACACTGGAGAGTTACAATGGTGTTGAACTTAATCTTTATTATTTGCTTAGTGTTGCTCCATTGGTTCCCTTGCTTCAGACTATTAACAAATCATCTGCGGGTGTCTAAGGCACACCAAGGTATGGCAAGCCCTAAGTCAGGGTCAACATTATCTGCACATTTACAGTCACCAGGGGAGTTTTTACAATTCCAATAGCCAAGCCATACCTCAGACCACTGAATCAGCCTCTGGACTTGCTCCAAGACATCTATATTTTTAAGTCCCTGGACTTATTTGGATAGGCCTGAATAACTAAACAAAAGCTCAACACACAAAACACTCAAATGCTCACATGGGAAGCAGGTCATTCAAGCTTTTTCTCAGTCCCACTACTAGCTACTATCAGACATGACAAACCTGTTTTCCTATCTGTCCAATGAGAGATTGTACAAGGAGAGGAATAAGGTCCCTCTCAATATAAGAGTCTATGACTATAAAATTTACTTAATTGTGCCTCATGTTTGAGACACAGAGACCATTCTCTGCCCTTCAGGAACTCACATCTATTATGGGTACCAACACATACAGTAATTATCAGGATACAATGTAGTAAATGCAGAGTGAACTGAATGTTCTGAATGTTCTGAATGTTTCTGAAAATTGAATGTTTCTGAAAACAGAAAGGATTAAACACAGCACTGGTGGCTCACACCTCTCACCCTATGTACTTGGAAAGCTCACATTATGAGATTGGGATTGATTACAGGCCAGTCTAGGCAGAAAAGTTCACAAAGCCCCTTCTACACCAACAGATAGGCACAGCAGCACAGGCTTATCATCCCAAGCTACATGAGAGGCTGATTTGGGAGAATCCTGGCCAGACAAGTCTGGGCAGAAAAACCCGTAAGATTCATCTCCTCAGAGGAAAACTGAACACAGCATGTGTGCTTGAGATCTCAGCAATGATAAAAAGTCTAAAGTAGGTAGAAAATAACAAGCAAAAACTCAGAGCTGCAGGCATGGCTCAAGTGGTAGAGTGCCAGCCTAGCAAGCACAGGGCTCTGAGTTCAAACACTAGTACCACCAAAAAGAAAAAAGGAAAATGCATCCCCAAAGACAATGCAGCTTTGCTGAGCTGAGCTGAGCTGAATTGATGATGAAGCTGTTCCAAAATGAAGAGGGATGAGAAGGGGCTGGCGGTGGCCAGATACTCAGATGCAGACAGCTGAAACTCAATTCACTGACATTAATAATGAAATTGCAGAGGCAAGCTAAAAAGTATAATCTGGTCATTGTTCCCTTACCACAGGCCACAGCAAGATTGCCATGGCCTGCAGGGTGCTCATGGTGATTCTTTCACTACTCCCCACCCCCCACCCCCAAATACTGACTCAGCCAAGAATCAGACTCAAAAGAACCATTTCCCTTTCTCAGGCACGTGCACAAACACACAATGCTTCCCTCCCTCCACCCACCACCAATCCTGCCTTTGTGGCTACCACCACCCTCCTAATCCTGGTGCCAACAGCCAACAGGGAATAATCAGGAGAAACTGCGTGTATTTCTCCCAGAGCAGGGAGGCTTCTACTCCATTTGGAGTTTTAAAGAAAATTTCACATTTTTTTATATAATTCCAATTTGGGTTTGAATCTAGACGTTATCACTTAAGAACCATAAGACGAAACCCTGGAATACCGCAGCATCTTCATCTGAAAATGGAAATAGTATAGATGCTACTTCACAGAGTCAAGGTGAGAGATAAATGGAAAGTACTGTTTCACTAAACTTAGTGCTTACACTATTGGTTGTTGCTATGGAAAGAGAAAATTTTTGGTTTTTCAGTTGTTGTTTTTTCCTTTTTTTTTTTTTTTTTTTTTTAGGGAAGGGGTACTCGGGATTGAATTTAGAGCTTCACCCTTGCTAGGCAGACGTTCTATGAGCTGAACAACTCCCCCAGCCATTCTGGCTTTAGTTAATTTGGGGGTAGAGTCTTGTTTTTTTTTCCCAGAACTGGCTGAGAAAAATCCTCCAATTTTATGCTTCCTGCATAGATGGAATGATTGGCACATACACCATTATGCCCAGCTATTGGTTAAGATGTCTCACTAGCTTTTTGCCTGGACTGGCCTTGAACTATAGTTTTCCTGATGTCTGCCTCTCAAGTAGCTGATATTACAGATGTGACTCATTATGCCCAGCTTGTTTGGACATTTTAAATGCTACTTTGAAAGTATCTCTTAGGAACTTAGAGACCAGCACTTAATTTTTTAATTTGCAGATTATCTCTTTGAAAACTTTGTTATAGTTGCCTGTATTTACTAAGTTCTGTTTACTGGCTCTCAGCAGGTGCTGTGCTAGGTACTTTGGAAGTAAAAGTGAAGCAGTGACGCCCTACTATCAAAGGGGCCTTGGGACAAGTTTGATGTGACAGGAAGGAGAAAAGCAGGACACATTCTTTCTCCTTCTTCTGGTAAAGACTCTGAGGCTCTCAAAAGTTAAATCACTCAAAAGCTCCAACCCTGAATGTAGAGACTACAGAGAATGTGCATCCTCTCTCAATCTCCCTCCAATACTGGGGTTTTTACACAGGTCCTCTAAAGACCTTGGGTCTTTTGACAACAAATCCCTTGTGCCCTCAGTCTTCATATGTGTAAGACCAAAAGCAGTCCAGTCTTACTCACCATCCGGATCCGTTCATCTTCAAGATTCCTGAGGACAGTGGCAAACTCCTGCAAAGACCTTGCTGGAAGACAGAAAGGCACCATGAGGTAGAAGGAAAGTAATGGCATGGTAAAGCTTTTACAGTCTCACTATTAATCTATGGATTTAAATTCCTGCACAAGCGTTAAGTCAATGGTTTCCTTAGGCTCCTCTTATCTTTTCATCATTAATCATTAAAGATAGGATGACCCACAAATGCAGGTTAAATAGCATCTGGCACTCTAGCTGGGGAAGTATTTCTTCAAGGAAGGGACCTGCCTGTTTCTGAGCATTCCCAGGACTGGTAGATACTGGCAGGTTCCCAGGCCTAGGGCTGCAAGGGACAGAGTTCAATTAGGAGGTGAAGGATTTCCTATCCAGGATTGAACCTCCACAACCTCTAGTTGTGAGGTTGCGTCAGAACCTAACCTTTTCTTTGACATTAAAATTCAACAAATAGCACTGCTGGCATCAAAAACCACCTCTCTGGCATCTGCTTGGACAAAGTCCTGAAGCCACTCAGTAATAGAACTCATCCAGCAGCATGGCACATGGCCCTATTTGCCAGAATCATCCATCAAGGCAACAGTGCAGAGGGTAGTAGCCCTGAGGATACACAGACAATTCTAGGAAAAGCGTTCATCCATCACAAGTTACAAGGATGTGCTTTCACTACCCCAGCATCCTCCCAAGTTTTTGCCCATCTCTATATCCTAGCATTCAGCATGGTGATGGACACAATAAGTATTGGAAGAACAAATTAATTCACTAAAACTTTTTCAATCCTTTTTTGGGAGTAAGGGAGTTGTTAGAGATTGAAGACATGCTAATAACCACATGCTCTACCACTGAGTTAGCTTCAGCTCCAGCTTTTTCAATTCTTTCTCCCTTCATAGAGTGAACCAAAATGCCCAGTTTAAGAATAAAGTACATAACAAGGTCAGGGGGTGTGGTTAAAGTAAAGCATCTACCTGGTAAATGTGAGGCTCTGAGTTCAAACTCTAATACCACCAAAGAAAGGAAAAAGTTAATTAACATGACCTAGGAAAGGAATGTTGACCCTGCCAATCTTCCCATGCTCAGGACTGCATACAGAGTAAAGCAGGTGATAGAGCTACGCACTAAGGAAGCAAAAGAAGGAGTAGGGACAGAGGGAACTGGACACTGAGCTCCTCTCCCCCTCCGCACGCAGTGCTACATGGCTCCAATCAATTGTGATTAGGCCAAAAACTAGAGCCTGGATTGGATTCTCAGACTTCCCAGAGAAGATTGAAAATTAGTATTTTACACAAATACAACTTATAAGGCAATTTGAATTTTTAGAAAACTTAGACCCAAATAAACCATGCCTGCATTTTTATCTCAACCCATGATCAATCATTTTGCAAACCTACGGTTTATTTCTCAGGTCATCTATCTGCATTGACTTGTGCTTTAGGTTCTTATGACTGTACTTGGTGGGAAAAACATCACAAAACCAGTGAGAAGGAAAACACTAAAGGAAAGTAGAGAACAGAGCCCCAATGCCAAACCTTCCAGCTTTGTCCTTCAACTAGAGGGTAAAATGATCCAAGAAAATAAGGACAAGCTCAGAGAAGTCCTCAGCCTGACCCTCATATCTCTGTCTCTCTGCCATCACTGTGACCTCTGATCTTTCTAAGCTTCCAGGCCTACTGTCCCAGAAAAAGGCCTGCTAGGACACTGGTAACTGGAACAAGGAGGGTACATATTTGTACTTCACAAAATGATGACTTACCTATACACATCTCATCATCTGTCTCTGCATCGCCTATGCACTGAAATTTAAATTCATTTAAGGAATCTGCAAACTTCCGCTTTGCTGAAGACAAATCTAGCAGGAAAAAGAAGGAGGAGAAAAAAGTAATTACTAAAATGTATCCAGCTTTCCTGGATGCTATCCTTCTTAGTTTGTCAATGAATGTAATAATGAGCAAATCTGGTCCTGAGACTACTGCACAACATAAATGGATATAAAATTAAAACAGTAAATATTCATTTGTAATATGAAGCACTGATTTGCTGTAGAAGTTAATATTTTGTTTCAATGACTTTAATGAATTCTAGTCCTAGATCTCCTTCCTCCAGCCATACAGTAAAGCCTGATATCTGCACGTGATACATGGGAATCTACTTGCCTTGGGAGGACCAGAAGGAAGCCAGGATCAGAGCCAACATCAGGTTCCCACCCCCTGCCAAACCTTCCTGTAGTTTCATCACGGCTGCCCACAGATCTGACTCAACAATCCATTCTACCAATCAACCTCACAACACAGACTAACTTTAAGGAGGGAGCCTCAGAAAAAATGGATAGAAGGAGCTTGGAGCTGTCTGGTCTCTGCAGCATACCTGGCCTCTTACAAGGCAAGCACAGAGAATGCCCAAATTCTCAGATCCACCATTCTCAAAAGCCCAGTGCCTAACAAACTTCCCCGTGAGCCATTTTCCCGGGAGGCTACAACCCTCACTCCCAGAACAAAGCCCTGGCAATGTCTGTACTAGGTAAAAAGACATCCCACACATAGTATATATAATGAAAACCCTCTGGGGTCCTTGCCAAATTAAAAAACACCACACAAAAACTAAACTTTTGTTTAAGGAAATTATAAAAACCAATGATCCTTTCTGAGCCCTCAGCTTCTGTTAAGGGTACAAAACTAATCAAGATACCTTTAAGTGGCCTGGCAGACAAGGCTGCTCAGTATAACATGCTTAATTCCATGTGCAGCCTTCCTGCAGATTAGGCTAATCATTCAAATTAGCTTCATACAAGCTTCCCTCATAGAGAGGGAAATGGCATTATGCTCCAACTCCCAGTGGAAGGAAATGTGAATCATAACTGGTAAAAGCCTGGATTTAATAAGATTGGGGTTGCGGGGGAGCCTGGCTTTACAGACCAACATAAACATATATGCATCTATGATCCTCAGCCATGCTCTTTCCATGAGGTTTCAGCTCATGGTTTTCATCTTTTGATTTTGTTTGATTTGTCTCCTCTCCTGGCACCTAGCAATGCACCTTGCTCAGCATGTGCTGAATACTTGCATGTTGAGGACACTGTGCCTAAAATCCAAGCCCCAGCGCTCATTTCAAATAGCTGCTAGTCAGAGAGCCAAGCTCTGGCCAGACTGCTGTGCTCAGGTCTAAGGCTCAGGCTGCTACATGGATACTGGGTATGAGCCCTAAGCTAGTCACTTATGCAAAATACCCTGCTCTACACCACAAGAGGAAAAACAAACAAACAAACAGGAGCCAACTTTCAGCCCTCCTTGGTTCAGTCACTTTTATGGAATGGTCCTTGACAAAAAGTCAAAAAGATGCTGGCAGGGAAAAGAGGCTTCTTTAATAACCATCCAGCAAGGGCAGAAAAGAGAACATCTCTCACAGCACAAATCACTCCATGGCATTTCAAGAAAGAAAACGGTGCATCTGAAAGTCAGAACACAGTGGGGAGGCTCTCAGGAAAGGAAAGCGGAGGTCACAGATAGACAAGAGCAAAAGAGTAAAACTTTCAGAGTGGAAGAGAAAAATCCCTCTAAGAGTCCCAAAAGGCAAGTGTATCAAATGTAGGTGTGGTTGTATGTGGCTTTTAGTCCAAATGTTTCCTCAATCAGAACTCACAAAGGAAAGCCTGAGCAAAGAATCAGAACATGTTTGCTTCACTGTCCACCTGACAATTCTCCTGTGCCTTCTCATTAGGCCAAGAAAAACTTGTGCTAGACAATCATCTCAACAAAGTAGAAAAAAAAGGCGAAATGCAAGCTAGCTCCTGGGAAAGCTTCCAGCACGCACCTGAAGAGCTGTGCTGCCAGGCAGCTGCCAATGAGAACAGAGTTGCAGCTCATAATGCACAAGGAGGCCTTTGTGGATCCTTTCACAGGGGGACCCACTTAGCCAGGGGCAGGCCCTGGCAGCCGATGAGCAGAAGGTAACCTGATTTCACTTTCAGTGGCACAGAACACACCCTGTGTAGCACAGAGCTGAGAAGTAATGTGGGTCCTGTGCACCTGGTGGAAGATGAGGTAATGAGGACTGGTATGGACAGTATGAGGCTCTGGGCCAGTAAAGACAGCTGGCTGGAGTGAGAATTCCAGTTACTGGAACCTGCAAAGGAGCTTACCTTGGACTTAGTACGGAGCCTGTAAAGGAGCTTATCTTGGGGAAGTTGTAATAGACACCTGTTGTTTTACTAGATCAAAATCCATGCCACAGGGGGAGTGATGGCAACTCAGGCCTGTTTTGGGGGAGTCTCTCTTCTTCATTTGCATTCTGAGAGGTATGGTAGCAGGCTAATCAAGCCCAACTCCTTGCTCCCATCCTAATCCTCATTGGCTCCAGGGTTCAAACTATACCATTTATCAGCTGTGTAACTAACCCAGATTAGGCACAAAGTCTCAGTCAATTCAGTCAATTCATCTGACAGTACCTTGGGCTGTAGGCCAGGCTATTCCTTCCTAAGAGATAAATCTAGTCATAGGACCCAGGAAAGTAAGCATGTCTATCTGTATCACTCACAGAAGTTAAAGGACTAGCAAAATGGCACACAGACACTAAGAAGACATATATAATTTTAGCCAACTCCTCTGAACTGAGATGCCTGAAATATATGGGGACATTGTGCTGCCTTACCCCATTAAGATAACCCTCTGTATTATTTGGGTCAATAGCAAAGACATCAAAATGAGAATACTCAAAAACCAGTGTTTGGAATAAGCCTAGTTGCTCATCAAGCAATTAATGGATTTTAAAAAATGTGGAAGGGGAGGCAGATGATTGGAGAGAGTATGGGTAGGCAAATAATACAGTTATAATACAGTACTCAGTGTACATGTGTGAAAATGGAACTAGGAAACTTGAAGGGATGAGTAGGAGTGGAATAAATGAAAAGGGAGGAGAATAAAACAAAGAGTGACATTGATCAAGATGCATTGTACACATGAATTGACATGTTGAATTTAAACTCTTTAGTACAACTAGGGATAATTTTAAATGATTTTTAAAAGAATAATAAGGGGCTTTAACATTCAACTCAACTATTTCAACTAAAACTCACTGATAGTAACTTCTATAAATCATCACCCTGGATGTATAGCTCCCTTCCTGGAGCATTCACTCAGATTCACATAGGACTCTAATATACACATTCCAGGAAGGAGAAGGGACAAGGAAGGAGTGACAGGCTCAGGCTGGGTGCATGCCAAGAGTTGTGGCCCTGCTCATATAACCTCACTGTTTCATGTTTAAGCAGTACAAGACACAGCAAGGTGCCAAGCTGAGTCAATAATGTTTACTTTGCAGAACAGCTGTCACTAGAAAAGTAGAAAGCTAGCCAGAGCAAAGCACAGCTGTCACTGCCTGCATGCAGCGAAGACAAGGATGTGTCTCTCCTAGTAAGAAGAACAAGGCAGACAGAATCTGGGAGCATTAGAAGTCTGGGTCCTGAGAGAATACTCCCAAAACCTTCTCCTCACTCAGGGACCAGAGGTAAGGACCCTTCCCTTCCTGAAGATGCTGTCTCTGGCTCAGCAAATACTGATCTACATAGAGGAAAAGAGAATTTAACCCAAGAAGAATTCTTCCTAACACTAAAGGTTTATCTCAATTTTTCAAAAACTGGAATCTACCTTAATGTACACATTATTTCCCAGCAATATCACAGGTCAAGCAATTTCCATTTACTCCTTGGGTAAAATTTGACATAACTGTGCATACATGCACACATGTGTACATACACATAATAGAAAAGTCAAAGGAATCTTACAATTATTTCTTTTCGTGGACTGATTGCATTTCTGTGCCTTTCAAAGTTACTCAACTTGCATATTACTGTCCTTCAAATTTTCTACTACCCAGTCACATCTTTCTAGACTTAAGTGTTTACAGTTTCTAAAAGCCAACTGTTAAGGTCAGAATTTGCAATCCGATGGGCTTCATAAAGCACAGAAAACCAGTCTCCATCATGCTAACTTCTCCCTTGTCTAAATGCCAAGTACACTTACACTCTGTGTTTTATTGCCTTGTGTTTGCAATGATTCTGAAACTATTCAGAGTAGCTTTGTGTGATAATGCAAGGAGTACCTAAGACAAGGCTGAACAGAGACCTTAGATCTACTATACAGACTTCTTTGGGGGGTTAGCAACACAAACTGGCTTACAGGTATCAGAGTCACCAGAGAGGATCCAGGGCTGAGAAGCTAGAAAAGGGTATAGTTTACTCCTCACTCCATTCCCAGGTAAAGCTCTACACATTAACCAACTTTCTCCCCATCACTCCTCTTCCCAAAAGAACCAGCCAAGGATGGGAAAGGGTGCGACTATTTGTTTTGCCACACCATTTGACACCTGAATGACATCCTGCTTCACACACAATGCCCATTTCCAGGCCTGTCTAATCTGCCTCCCATGCACTCTTCTCCATCAACACCAGCTGACCCCCAAACTTCCCTTTGCTTGGATGACTACATCTTCCTCCTCTCTACTCTCTCCACATCTACATCTGTCCCTCTGACCAGTTTTCTACCCAACTGTGGCAGCTACCCAACTATGCTAGCTCTAGAAGCTTTCCAGAACTCCAAGGATGAATACCAAACCTTCTGAAGACCTGAGAGGCTCTGCCTGCCTGTATGGTATGACCCATCACCTCCCCTCTGAGCTCCAGATGTTCTGGCTTTTGCAGTTCCTATAGTATTTTCACAACTATCTATCACCATATATTTATGTCCCCTGTAGCTATCAGCTCAAAAGTTCCTTCCTTCAAGATGTTTTTTCAGTCTTTTCTAATTGGTCAAACTTGACCCTATGTTTTATTCCCTGAGTATTATGTACTTCTTCACA